CAGCAATCAGACAACTTACGCAAAACCATAAACAAATACAAACATCACATATGCAATGGAAGTGGGCACAAGTTCACACTGTGAGAATATTTTATGGCTCTCTGATTCCACACAAGACTCATAAGTTTGAACCACACTCGTTAATAGGGCACACTCAAACAAAAATAGAACGAAGGAAAATTGTGGCACAGTATCGTATCCCATATAATACATTTGTAGGTATGGTAACCACAAAACCTCACTCTGGATCAAGAAAGTACCCTCTCTAGGAGTCCTAGCAATCAAATCCCTCGCAGAGAGTCCAATAAGCTCTGAATCTCATAGCAATATCTAAAATCGAAAGTCTCAAGTGGGTATCACAATCCGAATATCGGAGTAGCGTCCCTGAAAGAATCATGTGTCTGACGAAGGCACTCACTAACTCATGGTCCTACACTGAAAAACCATACTCATGACAAACGCACACTCACACAAAACTCACAAAAAAATCACAAAAAACTCACACAACACTCTCTAAACTCATCCAGTCCTGCCCCTCATGCCCATGATAGTCTCTAAATCCTACTCAAGTCCCCCTTCCCCCCTTTCTCCCCTCTCCCTCCTCCCCGCTCTTTCCCCCTTCCTCCTCTGGATACTCTTACTCCTGGTCGCGCCTTCGGCAGTTTGACTGTGCAGCAGGGGGATGGATGTCTCCCTGAGATGCATCCGATGCTTGTGGCCGTTTGAGTCCACCAAACATCTGTGGTGGGATTATCCAGCTTCCAAGAGGGTGTGGACATGGTGAGAGGATCACTGGAACAGATTGGGGGGAGAAAGTATTGAGTGGGATGAACGTTAGGTCCAGCTAGGCCTAGTTCGGGAGGAACACTCCGGAGGGGTGACCATACATAGCCCAGGTAGCAAGAGGAGTGATTTGCTTAGTCATCTGGGCAGACAGGAACCGGTCTAGATTTCTGATCAAGAAATCCAAGCAGCAATCAACAGAGGTCTGAGAAGATCAATTTGGGCAGACTAGAGGAGGAAGGCGAAGTGCGGGAAAGCCTCAAGGCCCCAACTGTGGTGGTTCCTGCGTTCTTGGGCCAAAGGTAATGAGGGTAGTTATCCAGGTCCCCTAAGAACTAAGGTACCCCGGTTCTCGGTGCAGACCTCAGGAGGTCACTCAGGGCTGGTGGGTGGAAGAGTACCATGGTGACTGGAAACAGCGGTTCCAACCGGTCCGCTTAAGCCGGTGTCAGGCCGTGTAGGCCTGTGTATGGATGTATAGAATAGGAGAGGTAGTATATGTGGTACATTAGCTTTAGATTATAGCAGACAGGGAGATTCCTAGGGGGAGGAGGGAAAACAGGGCGGGGGAAAGGGAGAGAGGGGAAAAGCGAAAGAGAGCGGGGAAGGGGTCTAAAGGGGGAATGAGAGAGAGATGGGGGGAAGAGGGATAGGGAGGAGAAGAGGGAGAGAGCGGGGAAGAGGGAGGGAAGAGAGGGGGGAAGGGGAGGGGGAAAGAGGGGAGAAGGGGGCCCTCTTTCCCCGTTCCCCCCTCTCCCCCTTCCGCCCTTTGTCCCCTCTCCCTCCTCTCCCCTGTCTTCCCCTTCCTCCTTTGGATACTTTCACTCTTGGTCACGCCTTCAATGGTTTGGCTGTCCAGCAGGGGGATGGATGTCTCCCTCAGATGCACCCGACGCTCGTGGCCGTTTGAATCCTCCAAACATATGTGGTGGGATTGCCCAGCTTCCAAGAGGGTGTGAAAATGGTGGGAGGATCACTGGAACAGATTGGGGGCAGAAGGTATTGAGTGGGATGAACGTTAGGTTGTGCTAGGCCTAAAAAATATAATAAAAAAAAGGATGTGCTAGGCCTAGTTCGGGAGGAACACTCCGGAGAAAAGGGGTGGCCATGCGTAGCGTTGTGGCAAGAGGAGTGATTTGCTCAGTCATCTCGGCAGACAAGAACCGATCCAGATTTCTGATCGAGAAATCCGAACAGCAATCAAGAGAGGTCTGAGAAGATCAATTTGGGCAGACTGGAGGAGAAAGGCGAAGTGCAAGAAAGCCTCAAGGCGCCAACTCTGGTGGTTCGTGCGTTCTTGGGCCAAAGGTAATTAGGGAAGTTATCCAGGTTCCTTAAGAACCAGGGTACCTCGGTTCGCAGTGCAGACCGCAGGACGTCACTCAGGGGTGGTGGAAAAAAAGAGTACCATGGTCACTGGGAACAGTGGTTCCAACCGGTCGGTTTAGGTTGGTGTCAGGCCGGTAGGCTTGTGTAAGTATGTATAGAATAGGAGAGGTAGTACATGTGGTAGATTAGCTTTAGATTATAGCAGACAAGGAGATTCGTGGGGGGACGAGGGAAGACAGAGAGGGGGGGGAAAGGAGAGAGGGAGGAAAGCGAGAGTGAGGGGGGAAGAGGGAGAGAGCGGGGATGAGGGAGAGATGGGGGGAAGAGGGGCAGGGAGGAGGAGAGGGGAGAGAGCGGCGAAGAGGAAGGGAAGAGAGGGGGGAAGGGGAGAGGGAAAGAGGGGGGAAGGGGGCCCTCTTTCCCCCTTTCCCCCTCTCCCCCTTCCCCCTTTCTCCCCTCTCCCTCCTCCCCACTCTTTCCCCCTTCCTCCTCTGGATACTTTTACTCCTGGTCACGCCTTCGGCGGTTTGGCTGTGCAGCAGGGGGATGGATGTCTCCCTGAGATACACCCGATGCTCGCGCGGTGGGTGACATATTAGCTTTAGATTATAGCAGACAAGGAGATTCATGGGGGGATGAGGGAAGACAGAGAGGGGGGGGA